AATTGAAAAATGAAAAATGTCGTATTCGACCCTGGATTTTCCTGCATCAATTAGTGTCGCTACTTAATCCTTTACTAATTTTAATTTATCCACCATGGGGAAAAATTACTGTCTTTAATTTACGACACGCTATATTGCTTCCACCGACTATACGCTGGCGTTCGTAGGCATTGAAACACCTGCTATGCTCGTACAGGAAGTATTACACGATTTAAATTACGTTTCTTCGCCGAGGTTAGTGTCATATATCGGTAAAAATCTATAAACAGTTCGCGCTATTAATTTCTAGCGTTTTTCTCGTAAATGGTAGACTTGTGAGACAAATGGAAGAGGACAAAGCTTCGTTATTTCTTATAGACAACACGATGGCTTAAATAAATTTTTTAAATTTGCGATAATTTTTGTGTAATGACGACACTACGATTTTTTTAAATATCAAGTCCAACTGTCAATAACAAATGAACTTTCAAACTCAATTTCGTAGGAATGTTTGGTATGACATAATCAATGACACTCTTTTAGAATCTTATTTTTACGACGGCATTTAAATAGAAAGAGATACTTAGACACTTTAAACTCATTAATAAATCAATCGAGTTCACTACCGAATTTTAGCATCGAACACAGGGCTAATTTTAAACGCCACCACTTTTAATATTCCCAAACACTGCTAGAATTGTCTGCTTTTACCGTACCTCAGTCGCGAGGAAAATGTGACGTCTGATACACTTATCCAGAAAAATAAAGAAAGAAGTGCAAGAAAAAGGAGCCAAATTTAAGAACGATCGGCCAAAATTTGTCAAAGTGGTCCATTAGCAACTTTCCGAAAATGAATATTCATATCCATCCAAATAAAAGTATACACACGGAAAATAAAGTGGGAAAGTTACAAACGATAATACTTATCCTTTATCCTTTTTCTGGAAAGTTGTTAATGGGTCATTTCGACCAGGTCCCTAATTCTACCCTTAATTATTGCCGTTTTCTCTACAACTTACAAATAGAGCACGAATTAAAACGACAACACACCACTAAAAACATACTTCTTATCCCAGAAAATTCCAATCGAAACAATTACTTCCCCTAGATCTCAATAATCCTCCAACTCCCGGAAACTTGATAATGGGTTATTGTGACCAGGTCGCTAATTCTACCCTTAATTACTGTTTATAATGTGTGTAACTGTATAAATACTGTTTCTCCGCAACTTACGAATAGAGCACGAATTAACCCATTTGCATCACAGCTCTGAATAGGCTGAGGAACGCCGTTGCACTGGAATTAAGATCTAAGTGCTGTGGTCGGCGTACAGTTCGCTCGGAATAATACAATCGTTTTATTCGTTAATTGTCCCTGCGGCAGCGGTTCGGCGGGTACGTCTCGACGGTTGATGGAAGAAAAACTGAACTGAGGTTCTTCTATTGGTAGGACAGGGAGACAAGAGTAGAGATAGGTAAAGGTAGAAACGGAAAATTTGTAGAAAGCGGGGCCGTTCGTCCTCGTGCGAACCTGGATGCCACATGTGCGCTTCTTAGGTTACTCGAGGACGAAGGCAAGTCTTAACCCGGGGAGAGACAAAAGAACGGAAGGTGTTGGAAAAGAGAGTTCGCGTGGAAGAATAGAACAAAGTTCGGTAAGACGTACCCGCCACAAGCGTTATTCATCTGAGACGTTCAATTGGCAGTCGGCCCAATATTTCCTGTGTTTTTGTTTATTACTGATTTTACTCCGAAATTGCGTGCAATAATTCAAAATTATTAAGAAATTTTTAAGCTTCGACATCACGCTATAAATTACTTCCCCAACTCCCGTTCAGATTTCCTTAACATTCACCGAGTGCCCCAACACCTCCAAACACGAACACCCATCCACACGCGAAAAAGAACTGGAAACAAGCACAGACGTCTCTCATTCGCTTTCCCGTCTCGTCTCGAGTTCCTCGAAGCGTGTCCGCCGCGCGGAAAGATGAACGCACGTGACTAGCGGACCTCTTACCGGTCGATCGTGGCAGTGCCATGTTTGGCGATCTCTGCTACGGGGAGAGAGCGAGCCGCGGCACGACGATGATGAGACTTCCCCTTGAACCAGTGTCGATCCGTACGCTATCGTTCGCGCTATCCTTCCACTCCGCGTGTCTCTCCCGATCGCCGTGTTTCCGCCTACTCTCGATTTCTCCGCACAGATCACACTCGATCCTCGTCGCCTCCGTTAACCCTTAACCCCTAATTGGCACGCGATGGACAACGCAACGTCGAGTAAGTTCAAGGTTGACGCAGCGGCGAACGGTGAACTCTGAACTTCCGGTACCCGACTTCTTATCTCACCGGTTCTCTCCAACTTCGATCGTAATCTACCGCTCAACAGGAGAGAGATAATGTGGTCAGTGTTCGCTGTCAGACGACCAGTTCTCGCGAGAATGGACAGAAGAGAGAGAAAAGGTAGTTGTGCGACTGTTTGACGGTAAATAGGTTGGAGAATCTCTACTCTGTAACTCGAACAAAGTGAAAAAGATGGTAATCCCTCGGAGGGGTTGAAATAAGGGGATGGCTCGAGATCTGATGTATAAAGGAAGAGAGAAGCCTTTGCTCTCGTTTTTCTTGATTCGATTGTCCAGACACGATGACCAGAGCGGTGGTAGTAGGTTCTATCTGGAGAGTGGATCGATCGAATTGAATCTCCGCGTGAAGGTTTCGAAACTGGGGCAAACTGTTCTATTGATAGTGTTCTGGTGAATTATACAAGAGATAATTAATTAAGGTTATCGTTCGTTGAACAAGTCGACCGATAGAAAGGCTTGTGAGATGTGTGGTATCTATGCAGGTTTGTCTTTTTTCTCAGATTGTAGTTGTTGAATGTACACTGCCGGCCAAATGTTTGGAATCACTGTGCATTGCAAGTTGCACAAAAGTTCCCCAAAAGAGTTAGCATTTATAATCATTTTCCAACGAATTCTTTATCATTCGAATCAATCGAAACGAGGTAAAGTGCTATTGATCTCCACAACGTCAATTTCAAATCAATAAAGAATTAGTGGCAGATTCAATATTAATATAAATTGGCAGGCGATTCCAAATTTTCGGCCGGAGTGTATTTACGCGAATGACAGTTGTTACAGTAAGTGGCTTCAAGTTGATAGAAATGGTTTAACCCTTTGGACTCCCTTGTTGGGTGCGACTCGGTATCAGTTTCATTCACAGGTATGAACGAAGTAACTTTTAAATTGCCTGTTTTCTTTTAGTATTTTTAATTAGTACCAAATGTCTTTCGAAGTGCATTTCGAATACAGTTCTTAGAAAAGTAAATTAAAAAAAAAACACTTGGAGTTCAAACAACCTTTTTTTCATTTGCCACCCTCTGTTTACAGCAGACTCCCGTTAATGCGTTACGCGTTGCATGAATTGACGTTACAGGAAATCGGGTTGTACGAGAACTTTTCTCGTATAACGCTAATAACCTAAAGTAACACGTTTCGAACGATTAGTGCCGCGCCAACTTTTATTTTCTACGTTCCATCGAATAGAACAGTTTTTCTTTTTTTTTAAATACGTCGCATATATTCGCTGAAACGTATTGCTAATGTATGTAACAAACAAACAATCAGGAAAAAAACGGAAGAAGTCGGAAACGACGGAGAAAACAGTGTAACGCTCAGCCAAAGTGGATTTAATTTCAAAATGCGGATAATTCCTGTATTTTGTTATTTACCCCGTTGGACGAGGAATCACGTTGCCGCGTTATAGGAACTCGCGTACTCAATCTTCTCCTTCCATGCCTTCGTTTTCACTACACGCAGCTTTCATACTTGTCCGTCATCCCCTTTGCACACCCCCATTTCGGGTTTCCCCGAAAGGACTGACGCAGAGCTCGCGGAAATCCTGGCCGAAAGTCATATTTCTAAATCTAAGAAGAATTATCGTACAAAATTGCCGTAATATCACTTTAAAGCGATAATGTACTCAAACTTATTATCGTTAAATATCGAGTATAAAAATTAAACTACATCCTTATTCATTGTAACATATTAATTAACTATATTCTGCTTCCTCTTCTTCCATTTTCTCTTCTGGTGTTAAAACTGACGACCTTGAGATCGCACATTTTCAAAAGAATTGAACGACTGTAAGGGTTTTTAATGGATAGGAGGATCTGGGTTGCTTAGTACCCACACAGTAAGTTCTTTTTAAAGTCTTTATCAATTAGCTGGCTCGCGAGGTTCACACTTGACTTCTGACTGCTTTTCAGTCACCTCGCGAACTTCTTTTTCACCCTCTTCTTCTTCCTGATTGGTTACCCCCAAGGTATTGGTTGCAACCAATCAGGAATTTTGTCTTCAAACCGCCGCTAGTCCTTTGCGCCCTTGGCGCGCTTCTTCCAGGACCGCGGCGAATTATGGTGGGGGCGTGTTGCCCGCTGTAGCGCATTTGGTAACGCCGCGGATTTTCCTCCAGGTTCGGTACTTGGGACATGTGGCCCGGGCCTCTGGGCCCGTACGCGGACCTTTCGGCAACCCTTGGTCTATGACCTGGCAAATTGCTATTGAGACCGTTGGTGAAAGTTTCTACGAAAACATGCATTGTTAGATTTACTAAACGTTAAACAGACTAAAAAATAGCTTCGCTAGCACGCACGTCATGAACCGTGTTGGTCGTCCGGACGGCAAATGCTTGCTTCTGCACTACAGCTGGCCGCCACACAGCGAAAAATCGTGCTTTAATAATGCACAAACGAAAGGCAATACATAAATTCTCGAAACTCTGAAAAAATTTTTCGAATTTCTCCCAGGGTTTCCACGAAATGTGCCACTGTGCTTCTAGCTCGCGACGTCAGTCTCTCCCGCTCATCGCCCCTTTCTTTCTTACGGCCGCTCACCTAGAGCCGAGAATTTCCTATACCACAAATAGAAATGTTTATCATCGAGTACGGTTGAAGTTTTCAGGAGAAGTAACCCTCTCGTTCTCTCGGATAACACTCGAATAAGACGATGCGTGGTTGCGTTTCAGATCGACCGAGGAACAACAGCTCTGAAGAGATGCAGCGGTGTCCGTATCTCCACGAGATGAAGGAGCGCTTGCTCTCGCAGCCAACACCGACAGATAGCTTGGACATGGAACGGTTAGACGGTACTCCTGTGAAGGAGGCAAATCTGCACAACGATTACCCTGCCCACACGAACCCCGGAGTGATACCGGATCCGCCGGAAATGCCGCCTGATTCACTCATCGGCACGGTCGTCAAGGTATACGTATACGTCAGCTTCGAGGGCTTCGCTACGACCACCTGGTTCAACCTGGTCGCTCTCACTTTCGCTTTTCTTTAAGGTTTATAGGTTGAAACGAAGGATAATACGAATGTCGATCGATTCTGTTCAACGTTCTTCGATACCAACGTCGCATACGGTGAATGATTTAATTACGAAAGGAACTTCTCGTTCTGTAACTTTCTTTAGATTTTTTTTTTTTTTTTGAAAAGACCATTACAGTAGGTGAATGCAAATTGCAATTTTCTTTTTTAACATTCGTTGCACAGGTCATCGCGTTGCTTTTGGAATATTCTGGGATAAATTGGTGTAATTTTTGAAACTGGTGGAAACATTGGGAGGTGAAGAATTAACCCTTGTACTGCTGTTGTTGAGTAAATTTGGGTCACACTGACCAATATTGGAGATTATTAAGGAACGGAGGGAGAAATATGAAACACAATTTATGGAATAATTTCAGGTTGATATTTTAATATTTTAGCAAATTTTTATTCAAATGAAATAACAAGCTTGATGCTTTCTATATTCAAATTTACCAGATACCTCATTTGCATTCTTCGTTTATGAGATATTTGCGACATAATTTTGTCGAAACCTTTGCATAATATGTCAACTAGAAAAGCACTGTGTAATCGTGAACAAATGCATGAAAATTTGATTCCTTTTTCGAATTATTATTAATCATTACAACGTATTTAAGAATATGAGAAAGTATCGAATGGAGAAAGAATATTCTTAACTCAATTTTCGGTCGAAACAACCAAATTTTCGTACAAAAATGAACTCTTAACGGTAATAAACACATTGGTCAAATCGAACCAATGAATTTCGCTGCAATGCGCACAGTAATCGTAAACAAATGCTAATTTCTTTCTTCTGACTATTATTAGTTACTATAGTGCACTTAAAAGTATCCAATGAAAAAAGAATATTCTTAACTCACTTTTGGGTTAAAATAAGCAAATTTCTAACTATCAATAATAACAAACACTTTTCTCAAATCGAACCATCCAACATTGGTAAACACTTCAGAAATTTCGTTGCCATTCTGAACGTGTTAAAAATAACTATCACACCTTCCAGCATGAAAAAAAAAAGAAAAAATGACTCAGATAACACGTAACCCATCTGAATAAACCAAGAACTAAATCTCCCACCTACTACGCCTCATTCACGAAGAAAAAACCTCATCGAGTTGAGAAGATCAGTTAAAATTAGCGATGATTAAGAAACTTGGCAGACAATACTTGTGAAATTAATTACACCCGCAAAACGTCCTATGGTAATTTCGTTCTAAATTGCTCTCAGAATTGATTATTCAAGCTTCGTTCACCCGGTTAGAGAGACCCACTCGATCCTAGAAGGTCCTAGCAACTTTCTTCACCTCGTACGATCTTCCTCCCCAAACCTTCAAAAAAGCCTACGTCCGGTCGCGAAGCCCAGTAAAAAGTTATAAACTAATAAACAGTCCTTTTCAGCCGTCTTCCTAGCCCCTAACAAATTCCCTTCCCTACCATAAAGCAGTTCAAGTCGCATCCTGGTCGTGTTTCCTATCCCTTTCCCCAAATTATTTCAACTTTTGCAAACCACCTTCACCCTCGCGTTCTCCTTCCACCAGTTTCCTAATATCCAATCACATTCCACCACCTTCGACTTCCAACCAATCACGACATACACCGAGCTAATATATTCAAACGCACTACCCCAAAATACACGAGTTCAAAAACATTCTGACCAAGAGCAACGTCATTTCACCATCGCCACACCAACGATTACAATTTCGCCCTTCCGAGATTAACCGTTCGAGTCCCAAGCAGCGCGATCGCGCTGTGTAGATTTTGTGTCGAAAAGACCTAGTACGTTTAAACGCTGTGGACAACTGACGGTACACTCACAGTCTGTCGAAATAGCGCGCTCGACTTTTCTGACGCATGTACGTCGCATCGCGCTGACCGGCATTTGTCGACTCAAAATAAGAAAAGCGCTATCGCGCCGCTTAGCTCTTTTCGCAATCAATTAACCCTTTCGTTACGAGCGCCGGATATAGACGGCATCCACTCGATGACCTGTGTGTACGAGCGCCGGCTATAGCCGGCGTCAGCGTGGTACCGCTTGATCACCGGCCCCGCGATATTCTTGTTTCTTTTGTTTGTATGCATCTTGCACATCAATGGCGCTTGTCATTCTTTGGTTCGTTCTTCATTTGTTTTACTCCAAAAATAAAACATGCACTGGTTGGAAGCAATCGGGACAAGAATCACACGTTCAGTGACGTTACTCCGGCGGCGCGGTGCCCCGTTCAGTGGCGTCACTCCAGCGGAGCGGACTGCCGTAACGAAAGGGTTAAGACAAGCGCTATTGCGCTGTTCGGCATTCTTCGATAGTGTATTTTCAACGACCCCTGGGACTCAAACGGTTCATTTGTCGGGAGCGCAACGATACCAATTCGCGTTCGAGCTTGAACAGTTTCGTTCGCGAGTCGAGCATCGTGCAGCCTAGAACAATCCCAATAAAAGATTCTTATCAATCGAACGTACTTGACGCGTTGTTTTCAGCTGAACTCCGATGGCTACGGATCACACACGTCGCCGGCACACGCGAGGCAGCCCCTGGTCCCGCAAAACGCCAACAATCCGCCCCTCTGTCTCACTCCTACGCACTCCAGCCCAGCGAATGGCACGCTGCCAAAGAACGCAAAGTGAGTACACATTCTTAACAGTCGCATTCTCAGAGGAACGAGCGGCCTTCGCGAGGGCCTTTTTGCGCCTCCGACACCGTCACTCGAGTTCCTCCGCGACTCGTCTTCCTCGCGTAATTAATAACCGCGGTCACACCGAACACCGCACCGTTTGCATAAACTTACGAGTCTCGGATCTTTGTATTCTTCGGTACGAGCAAGGACGTCTGCGTTCGCGATAAAAATAGGATATTACGAGAACGTGCGTGAGGAAAAAATAATATCGAGAGGTTTCTACACGATTGGCGGATGATTTTGAAGGCTAATGGAGGAAGTTGATGGACACGTGAAGCTTCCGCTATCGCGAAACTGTTCCTGGTACCATTTAGCCGAACGAAAATAACCGTAAGCTGGATGGTTTTACGACCTTGTTACCTTGCACAGCCGCTCGATTAGAGACTCTGCAGAGAACCAATTTTCTGTGAAATTTGTATCGTTGAGAGTGTAGAGGGCGATGGAATTATTAGAGCCACTATGCGAAAAATATGCATTTCACGAGGTTTTCACGCTGGATAATTTTTAACCGTTTCAGTGGCACGGGTTATTGCAGAAATCGGACAAGAAAGTGCCAAGCGCTTCTTTCGCTTGATGTCGAAAAATTAGAAAAATTTTGTTTTCGACATTTTCACCGAATACGACTGTTTTATTTATATACGAAGTTTTTATAAAGAAGATAGATTACAGGAAATAGAATAAAATTGACGCGATAAGGCGGCACTTTTCCATGTCGAATACGACACTCAAACGGTTAATTAACTATTCTTCACTAAAGATACACGAAACAGTTAAACTTAGCTTATGTAGTTGTAAGAAATGTGAGTATTTGGTAGCGCTACCTTTTGCTGCATTCTATTTTCGATACGTTTTAAGTAATTTTTCTTTTTTTTTTTAAATGGTTTAACGTCGCATCAACTGCTATGTAGGTTATTACCGACGTTTTAGTAAACGTGTCTTATGTGTAACTACAGTATTTTTTGTAGCAGTTTGGTTTCTTTTATCAATTGCAGTAGGTCGCGACTTCTTTTATCTTCCAAGTTGTCGTTGATGTGTGGCTTCAGTGAGTACCTTTGCCGTGATATGCCATACTTTGGGCATTGTAAGATTAGATGGTCAATACTACATTCCTCGTAATTTACTGTGCATTATAAGTAGTGAAAACACTGCAGCAAAAATGAAAATGCCCAAGATCTATAAAGCAAGAAAATGTAACACGCGGTTCTCCAATGGCGATTCGCAGTGGCGAAACAAAATAACGCCAATACCACGGATAATATTGCCTAAAGTGCCGCCAATTCGTAAACATCAACGCTTGGTAAAAAGTGACAAAATATAACTAAGTTTTCATCTGAAGATTAATCGTTACAGATGGCTCTAATAATTTCACCAGCCACCGTACGCATTCAGTGCGAGAACCGGTGTTGTTTTGCCAAGGGATCGACGTTTATATGGAACGGAAACTCGTAAATGGCCATTGTAAACAAACCGTTTCTAACGATAGTAACTGTTCGTGATTTGCGAACTTCGCGACGCGATGCGTAATTCGACCGGGGCGCAAAGAATTCATGAACTGCTCTCGCGGCAAACTAATGGCACGAGTGCTGTTTAAATTTGTAGATGAGATTTGTGGTGGGTGAAAAAGAGATATATGTTTTACACGATAGACAAATACTGGCTGATTGGTGGTGACTGTTATTTTTTATTTTTCGTGATGTCTCAAAGTTAGTGATAGAATCTCTGATAGAATCTGTCTGTTTCTGTGTGTGTTTGTGTTTTTATAAGTTCGGTGTGTACAGTGATTGGTGGTGTGAAATGTGTGAGAAGTGGTGGGAGTATCGGTTGATTGGTGTTTGGGACGTGTGGTAGGGTTTGTCGCAAATTGTTGCAAAAATAGTTATATTAGGGGATGGGAAAATCCTGAGGTCGGAAGGTGGTTTATGAGTGTACTGCATGTGGTGTCCAGATGTAGGGTATTCGACTTTCTAAGGTAATAAAACAATTCGCTGATGGCGAGGAGAGAGACCAATTTACGGAAAATATATTATTTGTGAATATGGTAGGGCTCCATTGTTCGAGTCCTCGGTACGGTCGAACAGTAACCGAGCAGTCGATACCTAGGTGTTTCCAAGTGAATCGAGAGGAATGGTGCATTCGTTTACCGTAATTTGCCGAACGTCTCTCTATTCAGAGTGTGAAAATGATCGCCTATACGCGTAACGTCGTGGGGAACAGGGGGGATGTGATTAACGCGCGCGAACTTCCGTCGGCTTTGAGAAACCCGTGTGTATATTGAAAAGGGAAGACGTATGGAAGTTGAGGAAGTTTCCTTAGGTGGCTCGTCGAACGTGTCGTTACACAAGAGACGAGACCGCCTCTACTCTTGCACGGAGATTTATTCTCGTTAAAACGCGCGGTTAAAGAGGAACGCCATCTTGAAGCGGCCCTCAGGCGCTGCATCCGAAGAAGGTAAGCTGCGTCGACGACCTCGACGCGGCTGATCGCCGCTGTGAAACTAGGCGAACTTTCTAGAATTTTTTTCTTTTAATCAGTGTGCTAGTCGGTGGGTAGAAGGGAAAGATTTTTAGAAGTGAGATCGAAACAGGAAATAAGGGAGGAGTTGTTTAATTCTGGAAAGATTTAGGCTATGACAAAATTTTGGCAATTTTTTAGAAAAAAAAAATGAATACTTGAGAGTGATAATTGTTATATATGTAATATACAATATTTGCATGTATCATATTTTGATCACGTTTTAGTTTCGATAAGAATTCGTTTTTAGAAACTCGCTACTGGGTCACTTTTGACCCGGGCGAGCCTTCTAGTGTTAATCAATGGTAATAAGTAAAATGTAAATGGTAGACATGGAATATTTAGAAGAGAAAGTGTAAATAGAGAAGTAAGTAGGGAGTCCTGAATGAAAGTGAATTTTGAAATTTTAAATGGAAGACTGATAAGCAGCTTCAAAATTTCAAAAATCTTACGAATATCTAGAAAAGAAAGTACAAATGGGCAAATATTTAACGAACCCTCGATGGAAGTGAATTTCGAAATTTTAAGCGGAAGACTGATAAGCAGCTTCAAAATTTCAAAAATCTTACGAATATCTAGAAAAGAAAGTACAAATGGGCAAATATTTAACGAACCCTCGATGGAAGTGAATTTCGAAATTTTAAGCGGAAGACTGATAAGCAGCTTCAAAATTTCAAAAATCTTACGAATATCTAGAAAAGAAAGTACAAATGGGCCAATGTGTAACGAACCCTTAATGAAAGTGAATTTCGAAATTTTAAGTGGAAGACTGATAAACAGCTTGAAAATTAAGAAAGAAAAGTATAAATAGGAAAATATGTAACGAACCATTGACGAAAGTGAATTTTGAAATTTAAATGGAAGAGCGATAAACAGCTTTAAAATTTAATAAATCTTACGAAAATAGTAATTAACGCGGATTTAATTAAATTCAAACAATCTTGGTAAACACACAGAACGAACCAACTAAAGCGTTGCAATCTGTTTCCTCAGAAACCACCGTAGATATTGACTCCATGTTTCTTCTGAATTAAACGGGACAAGGGTGCTAATCTTTTAGAGTGCAACAATTTTTCTAGAACGACTGCCAGGGGGACAAAGGGGGTACCCTCATTTTTCCCAAACGGAGAGCAATATCAACATTTCGTTGTTCTCAATAACATTCACCGGGAGAATCTTTTTTTTCACACAAACATAATTTTGGAAATTCGAAGGGTGGGCGATTTTACTGATCTCTTCCCAGAGCCCTCATCCAGGGTTTAGTTCTAGAGACGCGGAATCGTGGCAGCACTGCCAGCGAGACTCGAAATCAATACTCGGTGTGCGTGAGTCTGGTCTGTCGCAATCCTTGCAACGCGATATTACAGCACGCAGAAAAATTCTAGGGACACCGGTATTGCGCCGTATCGATGACCCGATTTCAGATCATCGCTGGGAACGAGATCGCCGCATGTTGCTCCCTACCCCCGCTGATCATCTTGCGGTCTTCCATCCCTTTAACGAAACTCTCGCTTCTCTCTGGCATCGGGAGAGAAAGAAAGAGAGGAGAGAATCGTGTCTCGTCTATCGCGTGACCCACGTTGCATCGTGATAATTCTCACGCGACCATTTGTACAGATTACCGCAATTGCCGGGGCTGATTGCGCGCTCAAGATTCTTCGTGAACGGACCTACGAGCAATACGTGTCGTAGTACAGGGTGAAAAACCTGTCCGACGAACTCGTGGGGGAAAAAACGGAGAAAAACTATAATCGAGGCTGGCGTTCGTAGATTCGATGGATGCTTGCCAAGTATCTCGATCATCGAGCTGCCAACCGGTCACCGACCTCGTGAATTGGAAAAACAACCGTGTCGAACATTTACGTATGTACATCCTCGTACGTAAGTGTTGGGACACGTATAGCCTATGGAAGAGATACGGCGAAGTTGTAAAATTGGCCGGCCGTCGAATTTTATACGTTGTCGGCGAATCGTGCGAAGATAAGGTGCAGAAACCTCGGTCGAGGGGACGTGAAGTATGTTTTAGCTTTGATTCAAACCTAACTGAAAAATGAAAAATGTCGTATGCATTTGACCCTGGGTGTTTAATTATTTATTTCATTTATTGTATATTTAATTATTTACTAATTTTAATTCACCGACGATGGGGCCAAATTTCTGCCTTTAATTTACGACTCGACGATATTTCTTCCACCGACTATACTGTCACACGTTTTTGCTATTTCTAAGTGAACTGAAGATTTATTCATTTCTCTGTGTATCAAAGATGGAGATCTGAGTAACGTTTGATTAAGAAACGTCGAGCTCAGTTAGCATTCTGATACTAATTGGCTAGAATGTACAGTCGGTGGAAGAAATATAGTGAGCTCGTAAAATTAAAGCATCAAGTGGCGGCACAGCTTGATGTAGCGATAGCCAGGAGCGTATACAGCATT